TTTTGGGATTTCTCTTCAAGTGAAATATTTAATGTCATAATTATATCTTTATATTTTCTAATTTAAAACTAAACCTTGAACAAGAAAATCAAATATCGTGAGTTTATCAAAAAGGCTTCCTGTTTTCCTTTTTAGTAAATCACTCACCATTTTAACAAAAACAAGTGTTTCCAAGTTTTTTTTTTCAATTTTTCATAACCCAGGAGAAGAAAAAGCTTCGGGGGTAAACCGAAAATGATTTGGGAGATTATAATAAGCAGCTAAACCTTTTAAGCTTTCTTGGTCTTTCCACTTTGCAGCCACAAAACTTTTTCTACGAGCTGAAAACAAATTCCATTTTACTTTATGCCCCCCAGACCAACCAATCCGATCCGATCCAAAGCCCCCAGAAAAGGTGCTGCCCTTGGCCAGCCAAATTTTCTAAATAATTTCACAGCGCCTTATTACGGGGGCCATTTGTTGGCCTCGTCTCCTTTTGGGTGGTCTGGAATTGTGGGAGGGGAGGGAAATCATGTAACAGGTTGCCAGCCCATCACACAGGAGATTAGGCAGTCGGAAAATGGTAAAGGAAAAGCAGAAGCTGGAGCTGGACTGGGAAAGGCGAGCAGGAGTAACAGCTGCTACCTGTGAGCGAAGAGTGGCTTACCCTTTTTTTTGCTTCTGCTACTGCCTCTTGACGGGAAAAGCTGGAGAAGAGGCCTCGATTTTTAAGCCATGTCAGTCAGGCAGGAAGGACAGAACTAAGCCCTTGGCATGCCCGCCCAGCTGTCTTTAACCACCGCCCACTCAATGCACTCAAAAAAAAAGAAGAATAACTTACAAAAAACAGATTTAGCACTATGAGAATTTCAGATATAAAATAAGTTTATTTAAGTTTTTTAAAATATAAAAAGAGGCAAATTACTTTTATACTTGCATTTAAAAAAAAAAATAAAATTACTTTCTTTGAATTAGTTAAAAGAATTTGATTATTACAAATTTTACATATATTATGTATATAATATATATATATATATATATCTATATATTTAATAGTTAATCAATTAATTACATATATCTTTATAAAACTGATGTAAATGTATGTAAATATATAATTTTTTTTAATCATCCACTATAGTTTTTGACTTTTTAATCTTAGTTTTTATCTTTAAATCGGCCTTTACGTGTTGGAAAATGTAAAACTAATATGAATATCTTAGACACAAGAATAAAGCAAAGATTTTTGCTCAATCTTAAGATTGGTAAAAAATGTTACAAACTTAATTCCAGTGTCCCCCACCTCCCTTAGGGCTGCTTTTGTACTTTGGAAAAAAGCAAATATTTGTATTTCTGCTTGAATGGCTGAACGATTGAACTGAGAGCGAAATTTGAACTGTAGCAAATCACACGCGTTTGATTGATGATTTGGCAGCAGTGCGGGGGCGTGGATTTTGCTTATACCCAAAAGCAAACCCAAAAAATGTATAAAAAAATCTGGAATAAAAACGGAGAAAAGGTTGCTACTCAGCTGAAAAGGGCGTGCACATGCCGTTGCTCCCTGTATGTCTTTAATATTTGAACGGGGAAAAAGGAAAAAATGGAAGCCGAGCTTAGTTTTGTTTTATTTCTTTTCTGGCACACTCTCTCACACAACTCACATTAATATGCATTGCTGATAAGGCAGAACATCGCAGCGCCCTGTTTGGGCATTACCAACCACCACCCCACACCCCCCATAATCAAACAAAAGCAATAAATCAAGGCAAACGAAATGAATTTTGATTGTCATTGATTTATGGGCAGTGCAGTTAGGGGCACAAACGAAACAAACGAAGGCTGACCATCCGACCCGCACGCATAATGGCAGCGATAATGATGACAGGATCAGGACGAAGGACGAAACACGAAATACGCAGGAAAGGTCCCTAAAAAGTTTCAGCACCGCCTTGGGGCCACCCAATTGGGGCAATTCAATTAACTGTCATCGAATGACAATTACAAATGAAGACGGCAGGTGTTCCGGAAGATGGAATCGATTTGATATGATTTGAAATAAATAAAAGCATTAGCAGATATGTTTTGTACCGTGAAATAAAAATCATTTTACAATGACCTGATTTTTTGGGAGATTTAAAACAATGTTTAAATTACACTTAATAATTTTGATTAAAGAGTGAAAGAAAGATTGGTAAATAAAAAAATACCATTTAAATATTTTTTACAAGAAAATTAAAAATTGACTTTTATTTTTTCGTTGTTTAACAGTTTAAAAATATGCCTTTACTGCTTTAGATATATGAAATTTACTATATATGTACTTTTGCATTTTTACAAATAATTAAAACAATAAAAATATTTCTTACAAAACTTTTAAACTTTCCACTTCTTTCTTAATCGTTTTAAAGAAGACCCATTTGGTGAAACAGTCTAAACAAAGACAAACAAAACTTTGATGATTTCTAACCCGCAGGCTCACAACTCAATGTAGCCATTTTCATTAAAAACGAGTTCAATTCAAGGGTCACACAAACAATAATTATGGCCTACCATTAGACGTAGTCATTGGGCCATAAACTTTGTACTCTCGACGATCCCTGCTAATTGTTAAAACTTTCAATTACACTGGAGACCGGGGTGATCCGAATTGCTCTACCCCCTTTTGAAATGCTCTACCCCCATGACAAAAAGGCTGGCGAAATGTCAGTCGGTGCGTCAGTTTGTCAAGTTGGCAAAAGTGAAAATTACATTTCAAAAGTAGTTGGCAAGTCGTCGGCTTTGCAGCTGCTTTTGTTTCACCGTCCTACGTGACTCGGCCAAATTAGTGAGGTCTACGGGGGGAGTTTCGGGTTTTTGGGGATGTTCAAGAGGGGAGGAGGAAGTTTAAGAGCCCCCAACACATGCTTTAAGTGCGCCTTGAACTTTGCGGCAGAAGCGAACGCTGAAGGGTCTATTTGCGATGATTACACGGCGTATGAGTGATTTTAATTTAACGCAGAGATAAACACACGAATGCATAACGACCCAGAGAGGCCCCGATTTCGAGCCCTTGTACATATATAGTGGTACTATATAGTAAGTACCCCAACAGGCCGAGTTCGTGTCGGTTGCTTTAAGTAGTTATGCAAATATTAAGCGCACAGCCGCCTTTTGACCTGAAAAGTCAATAGGAAAAACTCACATGGCCGCAGCAATGAGCACGGCCACTCACACACGAACACTGGGTGCCTGCTCACACCCCCACTCGAGAACTTTTCTGGGGGAAAAGTGTAGGTGGAGGCGGAGAAAGCTGCTTTCCCTGGCCTGATAACAGGCAAACTGACAAACCACATTCCACGATGCCGATTGCAAATGTCAAGTGCGGAGATTTTTGAAGGACTTTAATTTAAAAGTTCAGGGGAAAAAAATCAGCGCTCTTAATATAAAGTAAACACGTAAAAAAGTTTTGATCGATAAGGTACACATTTTAGACATTATTTATATTGCAGTTCTTAATGTGAATAAAAAATGTTAAGTGAAAAAAGAACCTTAATAAATGCATTTCAAAGGGTCAAGGAAAAACCACAAATGCAAATAACATAAAAAAAATTGTTTTTTTTCAAACAATAATAAAAAAATAAAGTTAAATTTAGAGGATGTATGTAAATGCATTCACCTCAACATATAAAAACTAACCAAATAAATTCATTAAAAATTGCAAGGAAAATCATTATAACTACTAAACATTAACTACACTTTATTTATGTAGTTTTTTTTATAAAAATAATCCATAAATCAGTTAATTTAAGATAATTGTTTTCATGCTAGCACCTTAACTTATAAAAACTATGAAAAATAAATTCACAAAGTAAAGTTTATGTTAAAGAAATATTAACATATGCAAATCACATATATAAAATAAAATTATGTTAAACGATGTAGGTAAAGTTACGATATATATATGTTTAAAGTGACTTTACATTTTGCACATTAACAAAGCAGATACGTAAATTAAATTGTAATACACCCACTCACCTTATTGCTTCCGCCACATTTGCTGGGTGTACACGGCTGACCAACAGAAAAAACGAGAAATATGGATGGTGAAATCGAATTCCGAGAGTGTAAACTTAATTAAGAGCCTGCGAAGAGAGTTGATTTTGTTTGATTTACACGCCAGCAGCTGCATGCTTTAATTATACGGACGTGTGTGGGGTCGGGACGAGGTCACGGGGTGGCCCTGACCCACGGGTGGTCCTGCCAAATCGGATGGGTGGTTCGAGCCGCCAGCTGTCGCTGATTACCCACCAGAGGAAATGACCGACCGAAAAGCAAAAAAAGCAAAGCCAAAAGGGATCCAGATCCTGGCTAGCTGGCATTTCATGGCTCATTAGGCATGCACATACGTTTGGCTCCCCGTTCAGTTGGGCATTCGGTTGCCAGGAGGTCCTGAAACAGGACTCCCGCGCAAGGACTTCACTGCCATTGCCACTGCCCCCCTGCGAAATCGTAACAAATTCAATTTTCTACGACGCCGATTTGGTTTCCGCACGTCTTAAGCTATCGTCGGCTACAGTCGACGCCATGAATATAGTTATTGGCTGCAAGTGTTTGTCTAGATGTCTGCCGCCTGCTTGTTTGCCCCTCCCCAATCCTCCAATCCTCCTTGGATCCTTGGCATCCCGCGTCGATACCGATTGCGCAGTAAAATAAATGATAAGAATCTGTGCGCTCTGCTCATGAATTACAAATCGCATAAAGGATTTGCCACTGGCTCAAGACGGAGCTGCTCCTTTCTCCTTGCAGCCAGCACTGCAGACAGGATGCGGTGCTCAAGGAGCGGAAGGATCCAGGTCCTGGAGGAGTTCCAGTACTCCTGGGCAAACAACGCACACAGCATATCGGGCATTTTAATGCATTGAAAGGCTGTTGGCTATTCCTAAGAATCTCATCAATGATTACGAAAAACGCATTAATAAACTTGAACAAAACCGAAATATATGCAAATAGCCCTGAAATAGAAATTCCTTTTGCAATAAAACTCATTTTTAATGTTTTCATTACTTTCTTTTTTTTATAAAACGTAGAATTTGTCAGCATTTGTATTTAAGACTAATTATTAATTTCAATTATTTGTTTAGGACTAGTCGATTAATCGCTTATTATTGGCAAATGCTCTTTACACAATTCAGATCATCGAGTTGTATCAATTTTAAATGCTTAGTAATACTAATCAATTTTTACACTTGATCGATTTCGTTTTCATTACATTTTTATACAGTGAGTCGTCAAAGGAGTTGCTGCCCCTTTATATCGTAGAAAAAATTATTATCACCGTTAGTTTTTTTCTTGTCGTCGAAACTGGTTTAAGACTTGATTTCTTTTTACTTGATTTCTTCGTTTTGTAGTACGCTTTTAGGAAAATATGCCATTCTAACAATCTAAGTAGACTAGGTTCTTGAAATTTATACAATAGATTATTGTTCTTGGTATTGTTTATTATTGGTATCAATTAATTTGCTTAAGGTTTTTTCTCATCGTAAGGTATTTAATTTGTTTCGAATATAAAGTGGAAAAAGATTACAAGTCAAAGGCAAAAAGGCAGGCGTTTTTTTCCGGTTTAGTTTATATAGTGTAGATTTAGTGGGAGAAAGTTAAGAAGGGAACAAACTCGGGGACTAGGGAACTAGGTTATCTCAAACAGCCATTTTTCAAGTGGAAAAAAGATAGAAAAGCTTTTATTGCGGCAGTCGTTTTTGGTTAGTAGAATTCCGCACCATTCAGCATTCCCTAAATGGCAATATATCATATATGCTTGTGGTTCTTATGTTACAACTATTATGAGCACAATTAATTACGAGTTCTGCTGCTGCCGCCGCCTGACAAATTCCTTAGTTCAATTAATTTCCTACTTTTTTTGTTCGTCTACCGCTCATAAAATATGCTAAGGCCACATTTAATTTATTTATATTTCTATACCTATTTAATGTTCTTGAGCTTAACGCAAAACGAGTGGAAAGAGCGTGGAACGTGATATTGTGTCCAACATTCTTAATACATCTAATCAGGCTTCAGTTAAGGTAAAGTGAAGTGAAGTGGAGGGAAATGGAAAAGGCAAAGTCAAAGGCAAACAAAGGAAATATAAAACGCTGTAAAAGGGTAATTGAAACGAAATTGCTGCACACAATGTGCATAAAAAAGTGTGAAGTGAACGGGCAAAGTAAACAAATTGGAAATGGACTAGAAAAGGTAAAAAATGCGAGAAAAACTATAGAAAAGCTTGAAGGAGAAGTTGTTAGCAATACCTAAATACTAGCGTAGAAGCTGAAGAAAAGACAGGAGAAGTATTATTACCTTAAAAGATAAATGGAAAAGTCAAAGGATATTTAGAGGATATTTTCTCAGAGTTAAATTAAACAAAAATAAGTTAAATTGAAAGCTGTTGAACGAAAGTTTAATGGTTAAGACCAAAGTGTATCAAACGTGCTCAACCTTTAATTCAGAGAGCTCGCTTCGGTTTAAATTGATTAAGAACACCTAACCTAGGTCTTAAACGAAATCCGGCATAAGCGTAAAACGTAAGCTGGCTAAAAGCTAATCATCGTTAAATATACATATATATACATAGTATACAGAAGCACATTTTTACATTTTTTGTTCGCTTAACTCCTTCCTTTTTTTTTCCTGTGGTGGCTTGCATTCAAATGACGGGGTGTCCAGAATCTTCAATGGTGAGCGGAAAAAGTGTCAACACTCGTTTATTTTTTTCTGGACGTGTAGTGGATTGGGGATGTTGGGTATCTCAAGCGTTCATTATCACGCAACGATGGCGGCCATTGCGGATGATGCTGATGATGCTGATGATGATGATGATGACGGGTGATGCGCAGTGGGGACAACCTGAGAATGATGCTGATGCTGCTGATGGTGCTGCTGCTGGTTGGGTTTGTGTTGAGATTGGGAATGGGAGTGGGAAAGGGAAAGGGAACGGGAATGGGGCTGGGAAATGTGATGGACCGGAAAACTCCACAGAGCAAAAGGCATCTGCTGCTGGACCAACAAAAGCAGTTGGCGTAATTTGTTGGTCGTCGTTGTTGTCGTAGTAGTATCTTTCCCAGATCCTGCCGCTCCCACCGCTCCTGCTGTTCCATTTATTGTCGCCTGTGTTGCTGCTGTTGCTGCTGCTGGTGCTCTTGTTTCGCTCGAAACTCCCGGGCAGGTATTGCCATCATCGCTACCATTGCGCCGCCTGACGCACCGCATCTGCATCTGCATCAGCTGCAGCTCGCCGCGTCGTCATTCATCCCAGAGGCACTGTTGTTTCTGCCGCACATAATAGGTGAACTGTGTGCACTTGCGGCAGGTCTTGATGCCGCAGCGATAATTCGTCTGTTGAGCCTGCTGCTGTGCGCCCGAGGAGTCGGCCCCGGCTCCCGCCCCCACCCCCTTGCCCTTGCAGTACTTGAGCCCGCAGGGATACCAGCCGATGCAGGTCTCCAGGTTGCACAGGCAGGGCGCCCACAGGCTGCTCACCTCGTTGCAGCGCGTGGAAAGCGTGTCCGGGAACTTCTCGGTGGCCGCCTCCAGACTGGAAATCGAGGAGCCTGCCGTAGTCCGCATAAAGCAAAAGGAAAACGAAACAAAAGCGTAAACAAAAAGTTGCAAAGTCCAAAATTCCCTCAAAACATTTCGATATCTACAGGCAATTTTCACCCTAATTACTTTAAACAATGGAACCCTTGTTTTCTAATTTTAATTAATTTTAATTTTTAACTTTAGCTTTCAACTTTAAAAAAATATAATCGATTTCGTGTTTATTTTCGCACAGCGTTGTAAGCTTTTGGTCAGCATGTGAAAATGTAATTAGCTTATTGTTATCAAAAAAGGATTGCACACAGAAAACACTTGAAAATACTTATTCTTACCAAAAAAATGGCATTTTTTTAACAATAAGTTCTGCTTGACCCCTAAATGTATTTCGTTTGTGGTTTTTATTAAAGCCAAATCGTTTTATTTTGGCAAATAAATTATTCAGTTTGTTTTACCCTTCATGTACGTACACATAACTTTTATTAATTACGCTTCTGCACAACTTGAACTAATTTGCGCAGCGCACGCGAATTAACTTTTTTATGGGTTAAAAGTTTAAATAGTCAAAAGCACAAAATTCATTAATATTTCATGGCAATACAAATTTCCAAATTTAAAATTTCTTTAATTTTCAAAATGTTGGTAAAAGTACTTAAACTTGATATGAGTTATAAACTTGACTTGAGTGTTTGATTGTTCAAGTTTTTAAAGAAGGTTGTTCTTTAAAAAAAGTTTTAATATTTCATAAAAATAAAAATTACTAAAAAAGGAAACAAATTTCAATTTAAGATTTTTTGTTAAAAGCTGGTAAAAATATTGCTTCATTTAAGACATGTTAGCTTGACTCGAGTATTTGATTATTTAGGTGTAATAAACAAGGTTGTTCTGCTTTTTTCCCCATTTTATCTATGATGGATTCTGTCCAATAATGTTCCCCCGAAAAGCGAACTCACCTGGAAGTTCCGCCCAGGCCTTGAGGTCCACATTCCGCACGTAGGTTGCGTCCATGGCCTCCGAGCAGAGGCCCTGCAAGTGGCGCGTGATGGGCAGGGAGCGGTTGAGCTGCACCCAGCTGCTCATGGTGAAGGTCTCCCGGCCCTTGTCCTCCTCGGGAGTGCGAATGGTGTGCGGATTCTTCTGGCGCAGCTTGGCCATGGCCGCCGAGGAGATGAAGTCGCCCTTGTTGAACTTTGTGGCGAAGCACATGACTTGGTACTGGCTCTGGCCACGCTCCTCCTCGCCCAGCACCAAAGCCTTGAGGATTTGAACCTCCTGCAAGCGATGAAAAGGGAATATAATTTAAAGTTTTTATTTAATTTAATGTACTCAAATTCCTTGGTATTCTTGTACTTACATTGCGAAAGTCGATGACTTGGGTGATGAGCGTTCCGTCGGTTTTCTGAAACTCCAGTGTTATCAGGTCCTCGCCAATGTTGGAGGTAATACTCTCTTGGATCACCTCGCCGCCCTGCAGAGAATCGGATTAGGGAGCAACAAGTGTTAAATTACTTTCTCGGCATTTCACATTCTCAATTCTTAAGCCCCAGCCCACATGCAACTAAAATATTAACACAGCACACAATGGCAGTCATGAGCTGAGGGGGTTCCCTGTGTTGTCAGGACTTAAATTAACTATGACAGGTCCTGAAGCTGGGCGGCCATGAACCAAATTAGAGTCAAGAGAGTTGAAAAATAGAAAAAAAAAAAAGGAAAGGAAAACATGAGAGGCCAACGAAAACGAAACGGAGATGGAATGAGATGAGATGAGATGGGTTTTGGCACAGGGCAGCCTGAGTACGAACTCAACTCGTCACCCCACAACAACATCTCAAAATGTAGTTCAACAACAACGAAAACAACAACAGAATTTGCCCTTTACACGTGTACACGAACAAATAAGTTGGTTGTGGGTGTTATTGTTGCTTTACTCTGGGATAGGGCATTATGATTTTTCGTAAGAGTTTGAACACAAAATTAAATATGGGTTCCTAATAGTACATACTGTTTGTATATCTACCTAATCAGCCTATGATAAATTATACTTTTGAATTGTAGTTAAACAATAACCATTTAGGCAAATAAAATAGGACTAGTAAGGCTAATCTCAAAGTTTGAAAGGTTTTATGATTTACTAACAAATTGTATTTTTCTATTAGAAAGTAACTATTATAGTTTAGCTTTACAAGGGTATTTGAAATATCGGTTCTAAAATCCACCTATATTTTCTGTATTTTTTTGCTCTTGTTGCTGCTGGGTTTTCTGTGTGTTTGCACAAAGGCGCATGTAAACAAAGAATGACGAAGAGAGAAGAGAGGAAAGAGAGAGGGGAAAAGGATGTAGGAGAGGTGGAGCAGAAGGAAGAGAGGCATCAGGACATTTTGGGGCCAGGGACAGAGACAGAGAGAGTGCAGAACAATGAAGGATGTCACATGTAAACAAATACGGCCCCAGTGTGTGCGACTGAGATAGCCGAGTTTTGTTGCTGTCGGCTTTCATTATAGAAGACCAGCGCCGTTTTTGGCCAACTAATCTAAAATTTATGGAAAAGCCGAAAGCAAAGTGTCAATATTGAGCCAGTCAAACAAAGCCAACTAATATTAAAGTGGAAAAATGAAACGTCAGCAATGTGAAAGCCCTGACATCTACTGACATTGAGCTGCACTTGTTTTATTGGCTCTCAAAATAAACAAGTTCTTAAATGTTTTATTTGTGGCCTACTACAAGTTTAATAACGACCTTTTCTATTGCCTTTCTATCATTGCTTTTGATTTTATTATCCAATTTAACTAACGCCATTGTCGAAGTACAAGTGCACATTTAGACAATGTCAATGATAGTTTACACAAATTACGAACAATTAAGGACACGTAATTGATCGTTTGGATACGTGATTATGGCAATTGTGCAACATCCATTTCCCTAATATATAGATTGTCTGTAGCTAAACAAAGCAAAACCAAAATAAAACATACGTGGGCAACCTTTAATAATAAATTCAAAATATAAAGGAACCAAGATGGGAATGAAATTTATTTTTGACTTGGTTCTCATACAAACTTTTCAGCATTTAATTAGGAGTTTGTCTAAAATGGCCATCGCATAAACACACTTGCTTAACTTAGCAAATTAAAAAAAAATATATATTAGACATGGCTCATATCAACTGTCAAATCGCAAAATATCAACTGTCAAATCAAAATTTGTTTGACAGTAAAAAAATTGTTAATTTTCTGGTTATATCTGCAATTAAGCTTATTAATTTTTTGCCCAACGAAATTGTTTATTTATATAGCTTTAACAAACACCTTTCTTTTACTGTCTTTGTCTCTCCCATTTTGAACTATTTTGTTTTGGCGCGCTCATTTTCGAATTGAGCTGTTCGAAAATCAGATGGACAGCGCTGCTAGCGTCGTTGTTCTTTTTGCCTTTTTGTTATTGCTTTCGTGTTTAAGTGTTTTCTGTGATTTTGGTTGTTGTTTCGCACCTGATTTTGAACGTTGATGAGCAGCTGGGAATGGACACGGTCCACGCCCACCAACAAATTGCAGAGCAGGAACCACAGAAATGCGCGACTATGCTTGAAAAAGTGACTTCGACTGACCACACGACCGCTGCACTTGACACGCGAATGGTTTTTTGAGGCATTTAAAGCAGTTAAATGATTTAAGCGCCAGCGGATGTGCGATTCGCGAATCGCTTCGGCGGCGTTTGCGGCGCGCTGATGCGGATGCTCCGCTTCCAGTATCATTTCGGTGCGACACACACGATAAATCGTAAATAAAACCGCACGGAACGAACCACTCGCGTCGAAATAATGAAAATAAGTGACGAAAATAACTGGCGACGGGGTTGCTCACTGGAAAACGTATTTTCGAAATCAGCTGAGCGGTGTGACCGTAAGCGGAAATGCCAAAAGCGGGCTGCCCACCTGCTACGATTGCAGCCCTGAAAAAGTACTTAAATATTTTAAGGGTTTTAATAAATAAATAAATAATAAATAAAAATGAAGTTTAGAAAACATTGTATATTATGTTTAACTTGTCAAATAAACATCCAAAAATTGGAGTATACACTAAGATGTCTAATTTTTAATTTGTATGCAGTGCATTTTATTGTATTCCATCGATATAATATTTTAATTAATTTAGCATCTAATAAAATTAAAAGCTGAAATGAGTGATTTTAATACTAATCACCTTAGTATTAAAGCCCACCTATAGGTATTTCCGCTGCATACGTTCACACTGTCGTCACAGCTGATGCCTCCACTATGCACTAAAATTGACCAAAACGCGTTGCCCCGCAGTCGCTTGTGACGTGTTGTTTTTTTGTAAACTATGTTTTTTAGCCACTAAAAAGGGAAAAGTTTGTTAAAGATACACTAAATCCGACTTTAAACGACGGCTGCCACACACAAACCACAATGCTGACCCTGCGGGAGCGCCAAATCAGTAAGAAACAGCAAAATCAATGCCTCCTGCCAACGGAAAATCTTAATTAATAGCTCTTTTCCAAACGAATCGTTCCAGATGCCATTAAGCAAATGCTTAATTTGAACTCGCAGCAGCCAAAAGCTTTGGCCGCCGAGCCCGTGTGGAAGATCCTCATCTACGATCGCGTGGGCCAGGACATAATATCGCCAATTATTTCCATCAAGGAGCTGCGCGAATTGGGCGTGACCCTGCATGTGTAAATTGGCCAAGGACAAGGATTCTCTGGAAATCTATCATTAATGTATGTTTTTGCTCCCCAGACAACTCCACTCCGATCGCGACTCCATTCCGGATGTGCCGGCCATCTACTTTTGCCTGCCCACCGACGAGAATCTGGACAGGATTCAACAGGATTTTTCAAATGGCCTCTACGATGTGTACCACCTGAACTTCCTGGCTCCCATTACACGTAGCAAAATCGAGAATCTAGCTGCTGCCGCCTTGCATGCCGGTTGCGTGGCCAATATCCATCGCGTTTACGATCAGTATGTGAACTTCATCAGCCTGGAGGATGATTTCTTTGTCCTAAAGCATCAGCAGAGCGATCAGCTCTCCTACTATGCCATCAATCGGGCCAATACCCGTGACGAGGAGATGGAGGCGCTTATGGACTCCATTGTGGACTCGCTCTTTGCCCTATTTGTGACCCTGGGCAATGTGCCCATCATCCGCTGCCCGCGATACAGTGCCGCCGAGATGGTGGCCCGTAAGCTGGAGAAGAAACTGCGCGAAAACCTATGGGATGCGCGGGCCAATCTATTCCACATGGATGCCACGCAGGCAGGCGGCGGAGTTTTCAGCTTCCAGCGACCAGTGCTGCTGCTGTTGGACAGAAACATGGATCTGGCCACGCCGCTGCATCACACCTGGTCCTATCAGGCGCTGGTGCATGATGTCCTGGACTTGGGCCTCAATTTGGTCTATGTGGAGGATGAGACAGCCAGTGCGGGCAAGTTTATCAGTCAATACTCCAATCTAACTTATATAACTCATAACTCCCCCCTTTTTTAGGTGCCCGCAAGAAGCCCAAAGCCTGCGATTTGGACCGCAACGATCGCTTCTGGATGACGCACAAGGGCAGTCCGTTTCCCACTGTGGCCGAGGCTATTCAGGAGGAGCTGGAGTCGTACCGCAACTCCGAGGAGGAGATCAAGCGCCTGAAGACCTCCATGGGCATTGAGGGCGAGTCGGACATTGCCTTCTCGCTGGTCAACGACACTACCGCCCGGCTGACCAACGCCGTCAATTCGCTGCCCCAGTTGATGGAGAAGAAGCGACTGATCGACATGCACACCAAGATTGCCACTTCTATCCTCAACTTCATCAAGGCACGTCGGCTGGATTCGTATTTCGAAATCGAGGAGAAGGTCATGTCAAAGCAGACACTGGACAGGCCGCTTTTGGATCTCCTCCGTGACGTGGAGTTCGGTCAGGCGGAGGATAAGTTACGGCTGTACATCATCTACTACATCTGCGCCCAGCAGCTGCCCGAGTCGGAGCAGGAGCGGCTCAAGGAGGCACTGCAGGCGGCCGGCTGTGACCTGACTGCCTTGGCCTATGTGCAGCGCTGGAAGGGCATTATGAACCGCTCACCGGGCATCAGCCAGGCCACTCAGTACGAGGGCGGCGGCACCAAGACTGTCTCCATGTTCACCAAGCTCGTCTCACAGGGCAGCTCCTTTGTGATGGAGGGAGTCAAGAATCTGGTGGTCAAGCGGCATGTTAGTATCTGACTGCTATTTGTCTTACTGCAGATCTAATTTATGATTCTTAACAGAACCTGCCTGTAACCAAGATCACCGAACAGGTGATGGAGTGCCGCAGCAATGCGGAGACGGATGACTATCTCTATCTGGATCCCAAGCTACTCAAAGGCGGCGATGTGCTGCCCAAGAACAGGGCTCCATTCCAGGATGCCGTGGTCTTCATGGTCGGCGGTGGCAACTACATTGAGTACCAGAACCTGGTGGACTTCATCAAGCAGAAGCAAACGTCCAATGTGCAACGGCGGATCATCTACGGCGCTTCCACGCTGACCAATGCGAGGCAGTTCCTCAAGGAGCTGTCCGCCCTGGGCAGCGAAATTCAGTCACCCACGGCGACGAGTTAGGAGCGACTGCTTCGATTCCATTGCTGCTGAGCGGAGTGGACCGGGTTTTGGGTGCATGCGGTCGGTCATGTGTGTCTCTGTGTGGCTTCTTTCGTTTACTTTAAGCATATCCAAAAATAAATTAAATGCCAGGCAAAAAAGAATGGAACGCAAGGGGCGAACTGAGCACTGAACAGCACTCGGCAATTACTCCAACCTGACGCTTAATCCCCGAAGGACAACAAGCAAAAACATGCGTAGCCCCGTGTACAACAAGCCCAGGGAGATGGAGTTGGCGATGGTGATGGGACGACGGGCAGGGGCACCTGCATTCTAGGCACCCATTAACACCAACTTGGCAACGCTTTGATGGACAGCTGACAGACAACCAGTCAACTGAGGCCGAGGCTGAGGCTGAGGCGATGATGGCCCCGGCTTCATCCAGTCGATACCTTCGGCGGTGCCACAATTATGGGGCGACAACTATGCGCGGCACTTGGGGACAGGCGCAGAAGTTGGCTGGCAGGGCCGGAGCCCGGCAATTAGCACTATCCCTGGCCAGCTATGAATGGATGGACAGTCGAACGAACAGGGGACGGAGCACGAGCACTCAGCGGATTTCTTTCGAAGCACTGCAGCACAGCACTGATTGAATGCCGCTTCTTTGGGAGACGGCCAGGCAGGCAAGTCAATCAAAGTGGAGCGTTAAATTATCCCTGGAACTTGCGGATATAGCCCAGCTTTTTGCCAGTATGTTGTTTATCCAAGGCAAGCCTTAATATTACAATCTTGCTTGTTTTGTAATTTTTTAGAATCAAACCTTATATTTCTTTTAGGGAAATATTGTTATAAAGCTTTGGTTTTACCCCTGGATTATAGATTAAAATATCTTAAAAATTATTATAAACAAGTTAAAATACTCGAACTTCCTAAGATTGCTTTTAAAATACTGCACGCAAATTTTGTTTATTACAAATTCATTGAATTTAGTGCTTAATTAACTTAGAAATTGTTATATAAGAAGTTAAACTTCTACAGAGTGCTTTTGAAATATAAAGATTTTATTAGTTACAAATGCTTTAAAATACTTTAAGTAAGCATATACGATGGTAAACTTTATGTTTGTAAGAACTGTTTTTACTGATAAAAAATTAAATAGTAAAAAAATATCTGGCTTTTGAACACTACATTTTGTATATCTTAAAAAAATATTAATGTTATACACAATGATCTTAAAATTTAAAGATTTAATATAAAAATATTTGATGGCTTAATATGGCTTAAATTTTTATTTTGTTTTTAGATATTAAAACCAATTTCGAAAAAAAAACTGAGTAGTAAATAGAAACATCTGGCTTTTGAATCTAAAATTGTATTTAAATTAAATATAAATCCATAATATATCAAATTTTTATTAAATTAAATTATTAAATATTAAAATATTTGAAATTTGGGTACTATTTGTTTTAATGTATTATACTTAAAATGATATAGTATAAATTTAGATTACATTTTTAGACATTTAAAACAAAAACAGTAAAATAAATTAAATTTAATAATTCTTAATTTAGGTATTCCAATCAAAACATAAAATATTTAAATTGAGCATAAAATACTTGGATGTTCTACATTTTTTCACCAGAGTATTATTACTTTCGCATTTCTAAAAGATTAAATTAAAAGCCAAAATAAAAAAGGCAAGCCCAATAAATGATTCTAAATTGTCCCCAAGATAAAGCTCCGATTTAAAGAATTTCCAACCACTGTGGGCAGTTTCCCGAGATAACCCGACAAACAAATACCAAAAAAAAAAAAAAATAAGAAAATATGGAGAAGAAAAAACCGATCCGTGGGCTAATTAACACTTTTGGTAAATCAGAATTGATGGACCCGCTGAAAGGCCACAGTAGAGATGATGACGCTGGCGATGACGATGATTATTCATGGAGCGTTGAGTTTAAATATTGGTTTTGGTTGGGTTACTACTATCCAGAGACTACCCGTGGCCACAATTTAAATGTTAACATAAACAAGAGCAATTTAACAAAAGCCCAAGACCCAAAAAATACAAAAATAAAAAAAAAAAAAAAAAAAAAAAACTGACCAAAAATCCAGAGGAAAAGAGAAGTCGAACGCCCAGCCAGAAACTGGTAACCCAAAGTGATTTCACGGGTGGTCCAAAAAGATGCGGCTCAAACAAATCATAAAGAAAAAATGAGAGGGAAAAACGACAACAGAAACTAACAACGCAACATGAAAGAAATTCTTAACTTGCCACATGCATGAATCGAT